GAGGACGGCTTCCAGAGTGCAAGGCTGGCTGCTCAAGGATGGAGCTTTAAAAATCGGTCGCATTGCCCAGCTGCAGATTCTGCTGTCATCTGCGCCAAGGCGCTGAGGAACAGAGATGTAACAGCAAAAGTCCTGTGTAAAGAGGGCTTTTGGATTCCTCCACCTCTCCCAGTACTCTGCCAAGAACGGAGAGAACCCATGTAGTGATACAGTCTCAGCACAGCAGGCTTTGCTTTTCCCTGACCTGCTGGCCTGCACAGCACCCACGGACTATCTCGCTCTCAACCCAGGCTCCCTCCACTCCTTGTCATAGGCCATCGGTTCCCACCTTCTTTGCTTTTTACCTTAGTTCAGAACCAAAAGCTGTAGACACAACTTATCCACCTATAACAGCCTTTCAGTTCCAGGACAGACCAGAAGGATCTTCGTGAGAGTAACACAGAAGGCCCCGCCCTCCACATCAGCCAAACAGCCAGCTTGTCGCTGCCCAGTGTTACGGCAAAATGCAAAAACTCTTTATTAAAAAAGCACAGAAAAACTCAATATGAAAAAGCACAAGCACAGACCAACTGATGCACACAGAAAGTTTCTTTTTCCAATTGCCTCTTAAAATATGTACCACAATTTCCTTTCTCCCACCACAGACTCAGGAGAAGCTAACAGGAAGTTCTCATACTGCTGCCCTGACAGAGATCTCCACTTTCTCCGATTCAGACCCTCATATCCCTTCCCTTCCTCCATGCCACGTGAGGACTTGTGTCACCAGCAAAGGAAGCACCTTCTCCCATTTGTGCTCTGAGAAGCAGCTCCCCAATGGCGAGTCAGAAGCATTGCTCCTTGCCAGGGTAAGGCCCAGAAAACAGCACTCAGCTCCAGGATCCTGAGAAGCCAGCAGGACATTTTGCCATTTGTCACAGTAGAACGAAATCCTGTTGCATTTTGCTGACAAGAACTCCAGCCAAAGGCTGCAGTTCACAGTGAGGAAGCACAGACACTGACCCCCAACACCCCATCCCACCCTTTCCGTGTCAGCGTTATAGAGGCTTGAACCATGGCCAATGCCCAGCTGTCCAATGAGGATATGGACAGATACTGCACAACAGTCTCCTCTCTGCAGAGCTGTTTCTAGATATAATGAATGCATATCTACTGCCCATCACTACAGCCAGAGCCACGGAGGGGCAGGGTGAAAGAGCCTAAGTGAGCCCTGTCAGCCACCGCTTCCATCTGTAAGCACTTCGTATAAAAGCACAGGTGGGTGTGACCTGGTGTGTCCAGCAGCTTCGGGACCCCATGAGCAAAGTAAATTGCTCCCACCTACGGGGAACTGTAAACACTGCTGCCTGTCATTTATCAGGTTTCACTGTTAACGGCCCTGGCATCCAAACAAAGGCTTCAGAAGGACTGCTGCCCAGGGAACACACAACAGCCTGGTAACAACAGGGCGTGCCAACAGACCAGTGCTTATAAAAGGACACAGAAACTACTCCAAATGCCATAGCAGTGCAGGGAAGGCCTCCACACCATGAACTCAGACCCACGAGCCCCTATCCCAGCCCTGGACTGTTGTTTCCTCCTCTTCTTTAAGCTGTCAGGAGCAAGATTTCTGAAGAGCAAGAGTGATCTTCTGTGTCTGCAAGCCTTTGTGTCACCCCTGACAATCACATCTGACAAAACTGTCCCACTTAGAAAGAAGGGGCTGTACCTGAGTTGCTCATCCTCCTCCTGACAGCAGGTATCTGGATTCTTTACGCCACGCCCTCATTTCCTAGAACTGTGGGTTCCCAAGGGGGAGCCCTGCACATATGCCATGATGGCGTTCTGCAAGAAACTTGCTCGCTGGGCCTCTTCTTCCCTCATCCTGGAGATGTCAGCCTCTTTCATTCTCAGCTTCTCCAGCAGCATAGAGATTTCACCTTCTTTGTCCAGCAGTGCCTCACGGTGACTACTCGATAGGGCTGTGAAAGAGCAGCAGCATTAGTAAAGAAAATTAGCGTGTCCCTAGAATAAACAGCAACAACACGTTATAGGCACAGCCAAAGGCAATGGAAGCAGGATGATCAACAGGCACATGAGAGAAACTGCACGAGACAATGTGAGAGGTTTTGCACAGACAAGATGTTACACTCCACTGTGTAGGAAATCCAAGCATTTTGCTTGCTGTGCAACTTCAGGTAGTTATCCGAGTCCTGGTCTCTATAAAATGACAAGAACTCCTGCAAATACATCAGGATGGAGGGTACGATTCATGGTTGTGCGCACAGGCAGGACGCATTGTAAGCGTCGCTCAGTTCCAGCTCCACTGTAGGGTAACTCAAAACTACCATTTCAGAAGCATGAAGGGACCCATCACCTTTCAGCTGCCTCTCCAGGGCTGCAATCTTCTCCCTCAGCCCGTCCTGTGCTGTGCGTTCAGCCTGCAGATGTCCAATCTGCTCCTGTAATTCCACTTTCACTTTATTCACCTCTGTCACTTTCTCCTCTTCCTTACTGTTCAGGTCCTGGCACACAAAGACAAAGCCAAGAATAACCAAACAACTTCAGCAACTTGTTCTGACCCTGTGGTAGCCATATCTCTACTCCAGCCCAAGTTACCTGCTGAAGTTCCTCTAGCCGCCTTCTGAGTCCCTCAGCGTGCAGGCTCAGCTGACTGGCTTTGGCTTGGGCCTCAGCAACCATTTGTTTTTGCTTAAGGCAGCAGTTCTGAGCTTCATCCCGTGACTCAGTCATCAGCCGCAGCTTCTCTTCTAGGTGTTCTAGTCGTTGCTGCTGTAAGACACACAAAGGAAAATGAAAATACATCAGTCCCACTCCATTCTTGTGAAGGGATTCTCCCCGTTTTGTTCCCAACACGATGAACCCTTGGTTGAGTCAACAGGCACTGAAGAACAAGCACACAATAGATACAGCGCTTCTCCCTTGCATTCAGGGGGCAATCTAAGCTGCTTTCTACTGCCAGGGAGAACATTCGGATGGAGACACCGCAACACCCAGCGCACTTGCTGCGAAACAGGCATGTCCTTGGTAAGAAGCACCAATGCCACCACCAGCGTTTACAACTAATGCTCCGTCTCCACTTCCTCTGTATCCCAAATGGCTCTGAAACACTGCTGTATGTAGCAAAGCAACTGCTGTGTCCCACCACAGACACATGTGGCAGCTTTTATACATTTGTTTTCCTCATCCCCTGTTCTCTTTCTCAGGGTGTTGACTTCACTGCTATTTTTGCAAAGTTCAATTCTACAGTGACTTTTTTTATCCAGCAGCAGTAGCCACCTGCGGAAATCCCCCTGAGCCCAGAGAAACCGAACAGCCCATGAAAGTCGCTCTTAAAACAGAAGGACCGACATCTGGCTGTTAGCTTCAAAAGTTGGCAACTCAAGTGAAATCTGCTAGGACAATATCCACATCAATTCTGTTACCAATGGAAAGCACAGAGCAGGTGAGGATAGAGGTTATATTGTAGAGACAATTCAGAGCAGACTTTTCAGGACTCCTTCCTCAGAAATCACACTATTTGCAGGCCAGTGAAACTCAAGAGCGGGGACTTACTCAGCAGTTCCTCGAGAGAAAAACATAGGCTAAGAAGCCAAATACCCTCCCCTTCCCACAGAGGCAGGGCCCACAGACAGGTCTTGTCCTTACCTCCTCCAACCGTGCCTGATTCCGGACTTTCATTAACTCCTCCTCTGCCTGGCCTCGCTCAGCAAGTGCAGCTGCTTTGACTCGGCTCAGCTCCTGCCACAGAAACATGAAAGATCATTCCAGGCAGAGAAACTGCATCACTGCAATGCTGACCAGAAAACATCAGCAGCTTCCAGTCGCAGGCTACAATGTGACACAGCGCTCTCTCGCTCAGGGGCAGGGAAAACAAACCCAGATTACATACCTTTTCTCACCCCAAGACTGTCATCTAAATTCAATGAGAATTTCAGTTATATGAGGGCAAGTAATGGGTGAAGCTTTCCAAAGACAGGAGAATAGGAGAGGGCAGCGCTGGATCTAGCTGGGGGAACAGATAAGGAGAAATAGGCTACACTACTTGGGACCACATGGGAAACCTGTGAAGTCAAATCCTGGTAAGAATCTAATCACGTTCAATGGAATCTTTATTTTTGTTCAATCAGAATCTACAAGTTTCTCCTTGGAACCTTCTCCTTCCTTAGTCCAAAGCGCTAAAAATAATTTTAGCTGTTAATATGCTGTTTTCTGTTCCTCCCTACAGCACATGACAATCTTTACATAGGTCAGCAACGGAATACTCCATAAAGCTCCCCTGGCAGCCTTCTCCTGCCATTGCTACCTGAGCATTCCAACGCACTTGGAACATCCATTCTTACCTCTTCCAGAGCTATCCTGATTGCCTCCAGCCTCTGGATCCTGTCCTGCATCGAACGTTCACTGGCCTCAATATGCTGTGTCATATGATCCACCTGCAAAGCAGCAGAAACCATTTAAGCAAGTGCCAGCAAACCACTCCTATCTCCAGGCATAGCAGCATGGCCATTCGGCATGAGAAAGAGCATCCTCTCGTTGACCCACCTACCACCAAAGAAAAATTCTTAGCTCCCTCAAGAGCTCCACTAGGAAACTGTAATATAGATAGAATCTGCCCTCTAGAAACTAGGAACTTTAGACAGAGATCCATTCCAGGCCAAGATGAAAGATACAGAGTTTGAGCTCTCATCTTCAAGTGGTACAGAACACCAGAGATTCGTTTGCTAGTTGTAATGTGGCTAAAATCTTCCTGGCCTATGTCTTTTCTCATAAGATTTCAAAATCTTCAAAGAAATCTATTGGTATAATTTTATTTTTGAGATATTTCACACCTCAACAAACACTCCAAACAGAGCTGACCATAGCCTCTTGTCCTGTCTACACTCAGACAGAATCCCCTGGAACATAACAGAGATGGAACTAGCAAGCTCTTACCTCTTTTACCCGAAGGGATTCCATGTCTTCGAGGCTTTGTTTAAATCTTCTCTTTTCCATTTCCAGGCGTTCTGCAAATTAAAAGCAAGCATATCACAATTACGGTATTCCTGCTACACAGGCTGTATTCACACTCTATCACAAACTTCCACTCTTTCTCCTTGGCTGCCTTGCACCGTTGACTCACAGACAGTAATCCCAACCCATAGGTGTTCATGAGCTCTTTCTGCTCCTCCACTCACCCTCAGCCTGCACGACCCGCAGCTTCAGCTCTGCTGTTGTGTTGGTCAAGTCTTGCTTTACCTGGA